GGAGACCTCCCTCGGCACCTGTGCAGGTGAAGCCAAAGGGCAGATTTGCTTCACCATATTTTCTAGTCTTTGGCTCAGAATGAAGTTGGTTTGGAAACATATTCAGCGATGCTTCATCTCCTGCTTTGCGTGTCTGTGGGCGCCTGCGCCAGCAGTGTCCAAGCGTTTAGTTTTTTCCCCCCCCTGCCATGGCTCCGCGCCGCACATTTATCCCCCCCCCCGTTTGGGAAGGTCTGATTTAAGACATTTTGTAATCGTTTCCAAAAAATGTGAAATACACACAAAATCTACAACAGAAACATATAAAACACTTTTATTTAACTACCTAAAACTAATTCATGATCAATCTGTGTAAAACTGTGTTTCTGTGTGTATTCTTCTGGTTTCACTTCCTCCTGTAATGTCTGCGTTCTTTCTCTGAATTTTAAGGATACTCGGGTGTAAACAAACCAAGGTTCCTCTTTCTCTAAATAACATCTGATCTCTGAGCCGCTGAAGCGCCGCTGCTCGTCTTTGTTTTCATCACTCGCGTCGACAGCTTTGAGTTAAAACTCTAGAACGACAAATCAAATCTTTTACTTTGACAAATAATGTGTAAAAACGGTGAAATAATAATAAAATCCATCTTTTATAATTAAAAATAAATGTTAGAAGATGCGGCTGCTGACGGCGAAGACGCAAAGGTCCCAAAAGTATACAGCAATGGTTTATTCCAGCTTTGGGTCTTTATGAAAGTGATGTTTGTGATTATTATTATAACATAACATTATTATAACATGGGTGCATGTCTTCATGACTCACAGCTGCTCTAAATAAAGCAGTCGTGGTAACACCAACAAGCTCAGACAAGGACTCAGTGGGCTTTAAAGCGTACAAAAATAAAGCTTTTATTGTGAAAGGTGGAGCAATGACGAACAGACATTTGAAACTTTCAGTCACAGTACTTGGTTTCTCTCATAAAAAACATCCAAAAAGAACAACTTTAAAGGTTTTAAACTAGAAACATTTCTGTGTGATCATCATTAATGATCAAAGTTCTGCAACAGTTCAAAACACATGAGAGCAACAAATAGCTTCTTTGATCATTTCTGGGATTCCAGACTCAGATGGTTGTGGGCTTCAGAGTGGTGGACGAGACGTTTGTCTTCATTTCTTTAGTGGTTTCAGGTTCCAGAGTGGTGGACGAGACGTTTGTCTTCATTTCTTTAGTGGTTTCAGGTTCCAGAGTGGTGGGCGCTGATCTTTTCTTGAATTCTTCCAGATGCATCTGCGCATGTTTCCATTCAGGATCAAGGCAGAACTTCTTCTTCAGAGTAGTGACGCTGTAAGAAACACACGACACGCAGTGTCAATGCACACGTCACAACATCGCAAACAGGGCCACTGATGGAAAGAAGCTGAAAAATAAGTCACACAGCAGCCAGTTTCATTTTTCTCAGTACTTAGTTTTACCAGTCGATGATGAACACACAGAAGACGATCAAATTTACTGAGTTTCAGACTGGTGGAGCCCAAACATGGAGCCAAAAGAGAGTGCACGCTGGTTTTTCATAATAAGAGCCTCCCAGTTCTAACTGCATTTGTGTAAGCCTACTTCACAATAACATACTACAACTGTCTCAATCAGAAGACTGAGATTTTTATTTTGCCTCTAAAGTCAAAAAGTTCTAAAATCCTCTTTAATTGCAACTCCTCCAAATTCGATAATTGAACTAAAACATCAAAGATATTAATGCAGGTTAGCCGCACTCTACAGTTCTGCATCTGCACAGAGACCTGCAACACCTGTCACATGACTTTCATGTACTCACATGATTGCATCACGACTGCAGTCGCTGCTCTTCATCACATGCTTCACCTTGTCCACTGGTACGTGGATTTTATTAGTGACGGCCTCGCAGCATTCGACACCGTTTGTCACCATGTCTATAGCGACTGGCACTGTGGACACACACACAGAGTTAATACGAGTGCAGCTCAGACTCACGGCACTCAGAGGTCAGAGGTCAGCGGTACTCACTGGCAGAGCTGTGCTTCAGGAAGCAGATGAGCATCAGGACCGTGAGAGCCAGCAGAGTCTTCATGGTTCCCGACACAGACAGATGTTCTTCTGTTTGAATGTGCAGGGCTGATGTGCTCTGACCTGCTCGCTGCTCCCTTTATATCCGACGTCCACGTTCATGGCTCAGTGTGTTCTAAGAAGTCACGGTTCCCCTTTGGTTCCACTTCTTCTCCTTTCTGACAGGATTCAGAGAAACCCCTTACAGAGGATTTCTTTTTTAAAATGATGTTAAAACCACCAAAGGAAAATGCAACGAAATCTCATTTTACTTTTAACTAAAATCTGTCTTTGAATATCACATTTCATCTATTTCTCTCTTTTTTATTTCTCTGATTTGTTGTCAATAAATCAGAGAAATAAACTCGGCAGAGCTTTATGTGAAAATTACAAACTGATCGGTCTGTATTGGCAGAACTCATCCGATTTGAAAACAACAACAATGACACGACCCTGTTTGAGTAAGTACTCTGGTGACAGTAGGAAGGAAAAACTCCCTTTTAACAGGAAGAAATACCGGCAGAACCAGGCTCAGAGAGGGACGGGGCCACAAGCGGCTGGGATTTCTCATTTTAAATAAATAAAAATAAAGTCCTTCCACAGCTTCATTAGAAACATTAGAAACATTAAAAACAGTCACTTGGTTTCCTGTGGGACCCTCTGACCGCAGAGCCTCGACACTGCTGGTAGATGCAGAGGAATGAGTAGAAAAGATCATAGCAGCTATGTTTAATATGTTTGATATGAATTTAACTTTATAAAGCACATATGGTACAAGTTGTAGTGCAGTAGTAATGGCAGTAATACTGTTGTAATGAACAGTAATACTGGTAGTATTAGCAGGACAAAGTCAAAGTGCTCCAGTCAGCACGACCTCTGACCTGTGAGGTCGGAGCACAGATTACAGATCTCTGTTATTCTCTTTCATTTTCAGCGTGTTGAGTCTGAAACACAAACACCTGTCCAGGTACTCGCAGGCCGGACTGCAGCGCTGTGGGGTGACGTTGTGAGTTGTGTGGCGGTTTTCACTTCCTCGTCCACTTCCACCAGAAAAAAGTTTCTGTGAATCTGTTTTCACACTTTGAGAAAACCCGCACATTTATTGTGACTGTGTGCAATTTTGTGTTTCTACTTCCTCGTTGTGGTGAGCTCGTTTAGGAGGCAAAAGGAGAGAAGTGGAAGAAAAACAAGCATATTTCCTCTTGTTGACTTTCATCATGAGCTTAAATGTGTTCATTTAACTTCAGAGGGAATTTTATTTGTCTTATTCATTATTTTATATGTGTTTGGATTTTCAAAATAATGGGCTTCATGTTTTATTTGATCTCATTTTATTTTGGTATTTTTATTGTGTCATACATTAATTGATTTACTTAAACAAACCTCTGTTTGCTGTGACACATCAACTTATTTAAAACTAGAAAGCGTACTTTGTCCTCAGTGGTGTTTGACACCGGTCTGATGCTCTTTGTGTTTCTGGTGCCTTTTTGGGTCACGACTCTATATATTTAAAAATGCACATGCTAATATTGCACCTGTGTTCAAATGTGCTTTTTAATAAATCAGGGACAGTACATTATGTGAAATGTTTGGAATATACCTGCTGAAATATGATATACAGTCTCTCCATAGTGAGGGAAACAAACACATGACCTGCAGGCCAGCATTTTGGTGCAACAAGCAGATTCCTTTCTTTTAGTCTGAGCCTATCAGTGCTGCAATCAACTCACTCAACAGAAGAGAACAAAAGGACCGGTCCCGCTAAATTAAGAGGGACGGCCGGGGGCATTCGTATTGTGCCGCTAGAGGTGAAATTCTTGGACCGGCGCAAGACGGACGAAAGCATTTACCAAGAATGTTCCAATGTGCCCATCTCACATTGTGCGTCAGAAAGCTTTTTCTGAAAACACGGGACTGTTGCTTGCTTTGATTGGACCGCAGCCAGGCTCGCTGAAGCCAAAGCCCTAAAAGTTGTGTCCCGGTTGCGTCGAGGTGTTGAGTCACCCAGAATTCACTGTTTGCATTTGTGATGATAAGTCATAACAAGAGGAAACTCCTTCCTTCCAGTGGTGACTAAAGGGATGTGCATCTGCGAGGAAAGTAGGACGTAAATAATTCAGAGCAGAATAGAGTGAGACGCCTCGTCAGTGCGTCAGATCCATGAGGAAAACTAACCAGATCTGCGTGTTTAAGCAGTCAGGTTCATTTTCCTGCATTTATTCAATTTTCATCCTTATCTTTGTAAAGAGATAAGCAGCAGCTTTGCTAGGAAAACTGGCAAGTCCCGTTTTTCCTTAACGGGAAACAGAAACTTTTCATCTCTGTGTAATTCCTGCAGACCAGGCTGCGTGACATCCCAAATTAACCAGACTGCTGCTATCAGCCTATTTCAGCTTCACTGACTCAGAGAAATGTGAAGCTGTGAAACTGAAAGAACGTCTAAGTGGAAAAAACAAGCCGAACACTTTCCCAGAAGCCAATCAGTCCCCCAGACTCTCGTGTTCAAATGTCCAAACTTACAGCAGAAATAAACATGTCATGTGTGGACGTAACACAGCTATAAAAACTGTTTCAGTCTCTAAAGATAATTCCCCCTTCCATAACAGCAGGCACACTGCACCACCTTTTCTCCAACAGGCTTCATCAGGACCAAACTTAGGGAAGGGAAGCTGTCTGCTTACACCCTATGACAGAGAGAAGACAAAACTTAAGGACATGCAGTACTGCAGCCTTCAAAATAGAGACAGTGTCTGTCTCCTAAAGAGGGGACGAAGCTGAAGGCTCTCCCTCCCATTCTATTTTTAAATACTGCAGGAAGAACAAGTAGGCCTGCAGTGCAAGAGCGAAGTGCTCTAATAGGGTGATATGGTACTGTGAGGTCTATCACTGCATTTTGGATTGGCTGGAGTCTTTTGAAGGAACTTTAAGGATAACAAACTTCATGTCAAAATGGGACACGCCCCCTAGGGTGGTTGAGAATGACCAAGCAAAGATCCTGTGGGACAGATACAGGCGGACAAATGGCTAACCAACCGGACATAGTGGCGTAAGACAAGCAGAGGAAGACGGCTGTAGTGATCGATGCAGTGATACTGAATGACAGCAACATCAGGAAGAAGGAACACGAGAAGCTTGAGAAAGACCAAGGGCTCAGAGAAGAGCTCGAGAAGATGTGGAGGGTGAAGGTAACGGTGCTCCCTGTGTAGGGACCCCCAAACTGGGCAAGTGGCTCCAGCAGGTCCCAGAAACAACATCGGAGACCTCTGTGCAGAAGAGCGCAGTCCTAGGAACAGGAGCAGCTCAGATACTGTGCAGGACCCGAGCTTGAAGGATAGACCGCCCGCAGGGGTGAGTGGGGAGTTTTATTCATATTTCCATTTTATTTAAATTGACAAGTTTAGATTGTCAGTTATTTTGATTGTATTTAAATTTGTTCTTTTAGTGTAGTGTGAATTAAATATAATAACCTGGTTAGGCAGACTCCTGACGGCCTAATGCAAAAACTTCCTTCTTGTCTTCAAACCTGTATTCTCTCTAATGCCCAGCAGGGGGCGAGTCCCCTGCTGCAAAGACTCAGATTACACAGGTCTCCAAAAAACAAAACAAAACAAAATATTTTCAGCTGCATGGGATATTTCGGGTAAATTGTATGTTTTTTAGGGTGCTGAACCCAAAAATGATTTCATTTCCCTCCATCACGTTCAGTTTTTTGCAAAACACGAGTAGTTTACATTAAAAAAAGCACAACAGCAATGAAAAGTATCAATAATTTAACTGTGCACACTTTTTCTTTAGCTTTGGCTATGAACAAAATAAACCTTTTGGGACACGACCATCTGAGCTCCTCACACCGCCAAACCCACCGTACCCTCCCCCCTCCTACTGACCCCCCTCAATTCCTCACATTTTCTAGTTGTATGTCTCGCTCTTAGAAACATTAAATTAATGTAAGGAATCCTTATTGGATATGGTTTTTTGATTCAATTATAGGATACCAGATTTCAGTTTAAAAAGGTTAATTACAGTAAAAACATGAGTGTTGCAAGAAAACCTGATGAGGTGGAACTTTTAGAGGATTTTTCCCAGTGAGTAAAAATCTATAAGAAACAGTCAAAAAAAATCATATACAATGTTCTGTTTGCAGACCTGTGTTATTTGGATGTCAATAAGAAACTGAGCCTGCTGCTTCCTTTATCTGTGACCTCAGATTCGGTTATTTTCCAGTGGATTTATGTCAGTGCACAGTTACATTTCACTAATTCTGTAAATTACTGAAAATGAACAAAATGTCTGCATTACTCGATTATTCACCCGTCATTCTTAATTTCTTGGACACTTTAATGTCACCTCCCAGCGCTCTTCACAAACTTCACCCTTTGATGCTGTAGTACAGGAAGATGGTGTCGCAGGTGTCGACTGGAATGCCCCTGAAACTCTGCCGCCTTGGCTGGATATTTTGCAGAAAGTCCCACGTCACATTCCTGTACGTACATCAGCCCGACCGAAACAACAGAAGGCTGTTCATGTTTGCATCACTGCGTCATAGTGTGCATGCAGTATGCTGCATGCACATGAGGGAAAATCTGCAGAAATGCCTCAATATCATTATATATTTAAAGTATGTAAATATGCAAAGAATCCCAAACAGCTCTTCTTGGTTTCATCCACAGTTTGTGCTTTTCATGAATCATAGCAGTTAGACTCTGTTTGTCTGAAACGCTGAATTATAGACAAACCTAAAATTCCTGACACTAAACAGCCTTTTACACACATCTAAAGCTTCCATCACTGTTACATTATTTCGGTAAATTTTGCCTGTTCCTCTTCCTTTTCCACTGACACCAGGTAAGCAGTACACCTGGGAGGTTAGGTGCTTTATAAGAGTAAATTCCTGCCTCAGATATTCACGAGTATCCATTGGGGCATACGTACTGTAAATGTTTAAAGGTTATACTTATGTTCCATATATATGTGCACGGTAACAAAAAAATGCATTCTTTATTTTTTGTGCATTTTCTATGAGTTTCATGTACAAAGGATGATTTTCATGAGACAGATCAGGATTTACGAGGTCGCCACAGATAACATATGAAAAAGTCCAAAGGAGCTGCAGACTTGCTGCCAAATACACAGACTAAAATGACACTATAATAAAAACTCGTCAGGTTTCCGAGGCACTGACGTCCCACCGACAGACAGAAGGCTTCATGTTGGTCTCTGTGTGTAAACACCGTACACGTGCAGGACTGCTGAGTGTGAGATTACAACATTTCTGACATGTTAGCTGCGAAAACAACTGAAAGGAATATTTAAAAAAATCTGAGGATTAGATTCAAAACCCAAAACAATGACAGTGAGAATCCATCATCCTGAATCATTGCAGGTGCCCGAACGATGATGTGAGTGTGGAAAACCCGTATTGCATGCCCTGGTTTCCTTGTCACTCGCAGAGAGGAAGTCAGTCAATGGGAGTGAAAGGGTTCAAAGAAGCAGGAAGAATCGGCCTTTTAATTCTAATCAGACACATATCCTCTTTCCTCTGTGGGACAGTGATGCAATGAACAGGTTTGACACACAAGTTATTTATAGAATCAGTGGAGGAAGCTGCTGAAATTGTTTGTTTTTTAATTCAGCGTAATTGTTAATTGTTAGACTGGTTTTGTGTGAAGGCATCAAGCTTTAGCAGCAGGCTGAGGTGAACTATTAGCTACTGCCTGTGTTTTTTAAGATTTAAGACTTTTAGAATCTTAACACGACGGCACAAACAAACTCGTTTCAAGTTCATTTTAAACGTAAAGTTAGGACGTCTCACAGGCTGATCTGGCAGGCGAGCTCTGCTTCTAAATACAGGCAGCAAGGCTTTATAGCGAGAGGGAGGAGACTGCAGCGGCATTGCATCACCTCACTGGTTTCTGTGCCAAAAAGCACCGTCAAAGACACAAAGAGCATAAACTCCACACAGAGTAAACAAGGAAACTCTAGCATAAGACTTATTGTGATAACAGAGGCTGGATTTAATCAGTAACTTGTAAAAGCACTGTTACAGTTTCACTTTGAATCATTCAGCTGAAGGCCCGTACCCTGAACGTTTACCTTAATAAAGAATCCCAGAAGGATCTTAAAGACATTTTAAGCTGAAAGATTGCGAGCTTTGTTTGCCCTGAATTTTACCCCACAGGTACCAAACAAGCTTCCCTCTCTCTGCACTGAGGGCTTCAGAAAAGCTTCCAGAAGCAAATGCACCGTTAAAAACACAGGTGGGAAGTGAATAACTCGCTCTTATCCTGGTGTGACAGAGCTGACGTCACACAGACCTAAACATTAGAGAAAAAACTGACTGAAACGTTGGTGCTGAGCCTGTGGACAATTGCCACAGACTGTAGCCGTGTCCCAATTCATAGGCTGCATCCTTCAGAGGCTGCATTTGTAGACCGACTACGTCACAGCGATGGGACGAAGGCTGTCCAAATTCGAAGACTCCAACAAATGCGTCCTCCTTTTCCCCAGATTTGAAGGATGGCTCGGGTGTATCCTTCGTAGCCCACCATATCCCATAATTCATAGCGCGGCCCAGCCAATTCCAGCTTCCAACATTGGCGGCAGCTATTTAATTTTAATATTACTCTTATTTCTCTTTCTGGGTCACAAAATAAACTTTTAAGATAATTTCAGGCGAGAATGTAGCTGTGTAAACTTCAAATATCAGTTCGGTTTATCAAGACATCGCATATTTGAGACGTCTGTTACCCACCAGCTTGGAGCGGACCATGAGGTCAAGGCTCACTAGAGCCGACGAGAACAGCGAACTCCCGGCACATTGTTTTCAGACCCTCGCGGTCTTTTGCTACTCAGGTTAAACATGATACATAAGTCACTTAGATAACTTAAACATGTTATTGTTTGGCTTTTTTCAGTGCTTTATTTGTTCCTGAGTAAATCGGTTTGGCTGAGATTAAAGTTCTAGTTTTCATAAACGTCAAACAAAAAACTGATTAAACAGAAGTGTGAGATGGTCGAGTTTATTAAACTCTACAGAGACAGCGGTGACGCTGAAGGCCAGACCGTCCCATTTCACAGCCTCACGCTCACGGCTTTCTCTATCTTCGAAGGACCCGGCCAACGTAGACCGCGAAGGCCGGGTCCTCATGCTGAATTTGGACACAGCATGTATGTAAAGGATGGAATTAGGCACCATCTTTAGTCAACAACTGATTTTGGACTCTGCAGTCAGACACATGAACATTAGCAGTGTGGCTGCTGCCACCTTAGACTTTCAAAGCCAGAAGTGACCACATTTGGATGACAGGCTGGCGTGCTAAGTTACCAGCTAACTCCAGTTAGCTCACTCCACAAGCTGCATTAATTTAAAAGGCCAGTAAACCAGGATAGCCAACAAACTGTCAGTCACACGTGTCCATCAGGTTGTCTACAGTCTACCATGTACTTACAGTTTCAGGGGTGAGGGGCAGTGAGCGCACCCAGCACAGCCAAACCCTGCAGTCTTTGTTTGCTGTGTGTGATCTGAGGCGACACTCAAAATTCATGCATTGCACAATGACTTGGTGTGTGTAATGTTCTGCATGTGAGTGAACAAAGTCTTAATTAGAGATTTTCAGAGAGTCCTGGAAAAACAGCACACTCGAGCTGCACACGTTTAGGCCGCTCTGTGGTATCCATGGTTACCAAGTAACAGCGGGAGTTCAGAGCTGCTGAATGGAAGCGTCGCATCATCTCAGTTCACTCTAATGGACTACGTTGTACTGCAGCGGTGGATCGTGGAGCCTCACAGTAGTTATGAAAGTTATCCCCATGCTAGCCGCGCCGCAGAGGCACAAGCTATGTCCCAATTCATAGGCCGCATCCTCCTGAGGACCTGGCCTTCGCGGCCTATGTGGGCCGGGTCCTTCGAAGTTATCTAAGTTATCTAAGTGACTTATATATCATGTTTAACCTGAGTAGTGAAAGACTGCGGGGGGTTTGAAAATGATGTGGGGGGAGTTCGCTGTTCTCGCCCCGGTCAGCTGTTCGCCCCGGTCAGCTATCGAGCTGGTGGGTAACAGACGTCTCCGAAAACGTTGGAGCACTTTTGCAAATATGCGATGTCTTGATAAACCGAGCAGATATTTGAAGTTTCTACAGCTACATTCCCGTGTGACACAGAAAGAGTAACAAGAGCAAAATTATAGTTTAAGTAAAATTATAACTAAGTAGCTGCCGCCATTGTTGGAAAGAGGAATCGGCTGGGCAGTGCTATGAATTCTGGGATAGGTTGGGCCATGAAGGATACACCCGAGCCATCCTTCAAATCCGGGGAAAAGAAGGGCGCATTTGTTGGCTGCATTTGGAGCAGCCTTCGAATCAGGACAGCCTTCCTCACCTGGCTGTGATGTAATCGGTCTACAAATGCGGCCTCCGAAGAATGTGGCCTATGATACGTGCCTACAGTTTGCGTTTGAGATGCATTTTTAAAAGGTAAGAAATTAAAAACAGCTCTGTATTTTAGCAGCACGTGTTTCACTTGGCTAAGCACTTGCAGGAAGTATATGAAGGCTATATGACCTACGTGATGAGGCAGGGGCCCTGCAGGTTATCAGCCCGGCTTCTCTCAGCCTGAACGCAGCACATTCTCGTGAGTTATTCTGAGCTGTCACGATCTTAGGGTTTTCCTCACTGGGCCGAGGGGAGGGGCAGCAGGAGGAACCGGTACGTAACCCCGCTTCCTGTGCGTGATCATACTTCCTACATTTGTCATATCAAAATTACTACAGCGGCTGAGTCCTTCATTTTTAGGTTAGTTCCTTTGTATTAAGAGTTTATGCCTTTCCTCACAAACTCCCCGACTGAAAGTAATTCATGTGTCTGTATTTTCCTGCTTAGTTACTGCCTCTCACTTCCTGTTTTAACTTGTCAGCTTAATGTCTCTGCATTTTTAATCGTCTCTGCATGCTCCTAACCAGCTTTGGATGGCGTTCACTCTGCTGACCTTTATGGAGGTTTCATCAGATGAAATAAAGGCTCAACTTTGTTGCTTCAGTCAGTTTTCCTCATCCTGCTCCACATGACTTCAAATTCATCAACCCTCCAAAATAAATATTTAAAATGTATTTAAAAACAAACACTAAATGTTTTGTGTTTATTTCCTCCTTCGACTTCTGCTGACCTCAGAACCTCACTCCAGCAGCAGGAAGTGAATGTAGTCTGACGCTTGAGTCAGCTCGAGTGTGTCATTGCATCACCAGGACACATCTGTGGAGTGATAGGGTAACCACAGGGTGCGCCACACACAAGTGCTGTTATTAAAGTATGAGGGAGCTGCGAGGGCTCCATATTCCTGCTGGTGGTCCAGCAGGAGGATGGGCCGGGGTGGGAAGATTTACAGGGATGAAACTCAGTGCCTGAGAACTGATGTCATATCATGTCATCATGCACAAAAAATAGAGCTGAGACCACAGAGAGCTCACCGGCTAAAAACTGTGAATTAAGATAAGATCACAATCTGATTCATGCAAATACTCACATTGTGAGAACACACATCATGAGTCACCCCGCTGCTGTAAAGTAACTCATCGCTCCCACTTTTCTGTAGCCTGCTGTTCCTGATGCTGACAGTCCACGTGACAAAGTTCCCACATTTTTCTACAGAGAAATATGAGCGATAAGTGACTTCACAGGAGCAGGGTGACCCCAAGAGGATTTTTTTCCATGTGAAGAGTCAGGAATGACCTCGTTTTATTTTTAAATACATACAATACAGTGTTTCATGGCGCTGTGTTGACATTTTGAAAACTTTTGATTTGAGTTCTTCTTCTCTCAGAAAAAGAAGCCGACAGAAGCTTTTGTGACTCTGATGTGTAAACCCTGAGATGTACTGTTGAGGATCAGAACAGCAGCAGTTGCAGAAAACCTGACAATATTCACGTTTCAGGCGATAAAACCTTTTTCTGTAAAACATAAACATCTGTCTCTACCTTTAAAAAAAACAAACCAACAATGAAACGTGTGAAATGTTTAAAATGAGATCACGGCGGAGTTTATTAGAGGTACGAGGCTGTCTGCTCGCGGTGTTCTGAGAAACCATCCTACTCGTATTATAATTTGACGGTGACTTGTGACTAACCCTACCCATAACTTTAAGAAGTATTCCAGAGAGAAAAAGTTAATTTGGGTTCGGTGTTATGCGCATGCGCCGCGTCAGCGCAGAAACATTGGTTAGGAGGTTTTTTGACCGGTCACAAACACAGCGCACAGCCAGCAGAGGGGCGGGGCAGCACGCGAACTGTTTCTCATGCGGAAATGTTGATTTTGAGGAGATCCCCATGGCAACCAGGCAACCGTAGGAGCTCCGCTTGTGTATTTAAAGCAGCTTCAATGGAGCGTCCGCCAGTCTCAGCCGTCCGAAGTCAAGATGGTCGCGAGCTTCCTGCAGTTGGTAAATCACATCACATTAGCGCCCCGGGCTCGCGGACAGCTCTCTCTGACTCTCACGCGTGTTTCTGCCACTTTGCAGATCTCTCTGCTGATCCTCCACGAGCTCTGCGCCGCCGCCTCCAACTCCACGTGTCTCAGCGCCGAGAAGGTGGAGGCCCGCGAGCGAAAGTTTGACGTCAACCTGAAGAAGCTCGACCTTCAGCGCGACGCCCGCGAGCACCAGGAGCTCACCACCTGCGAACAGGCTGCCCAGCAAATGCACGAACTCAACGGCCGCGCGCTGTCTCCGTGGCGTTACTAGTAAGTATGGAACCCGCAGAGGGACAAAAATGCTCATTCTCTCACTCATTACTGTTTGAATGAAAGTTTGAATGTTGGGTATTGTTGCAAATTTCTATCATCGATTCGACTGAATTTTGACTGACAGTCAGAAATATTCTAATTCTATATTTTTTTCAATCTCTGTATAAAAACAAGGCTGACACTTCATCAGAGCTGTGGGCATCACAACAGATGCGTTTGTCTCAAAGTAACTGAGGCTAAAACAGAAACACATAAAGGAGATTTTCCTGGTCTGTCTTTTTCTAACAGATAACCTTAAAAATATTCTGCAGCCAATCAAAAATGGAAGAAAACCATGAATCAGCTTCTGAACTTGATGCTGCTGAGTTCCAGAGGTTTGATTAGAGACTCAGCTAAGAGTTTTGGCATCATTTTAAAAAGTTTACATTTCTGCACTGAACAGGCTTTCTTGTCAGAGGCTGACTGCACTGAACACACAGGTAGACTGGTGCGTAATAAGCAGCAAATAATGCAGAAAACAGAGATTTGAGATGGGAAACTGTTCTTGAAGGACACTTAGAGAGACAGAGCTGTGCAGGAAGTGAGATCGTATCGTGGTGGAAGCAAAACAGTCAAAGTAAGAGAGAAACAGTGACGATGTTTTACAAATGTGAAGTGTAGCTTGGAACTTTTTTTGCTGCTGGTTCAGTGAATTTTGGTCAGAGACTGACAAAAATAGATTCAGGATTTAATGAATCGATAACGCGTTATTCTGGCTAAAATCAATTTGAATTGGAACATATTTAATAATTCTTTATTTATTTACCAACATGGTATACATCATGCTTTGGTTCAGCAGCAGGTATGGTGGATGTTACAAGTAACGCGTTACTGCCCATCTCTGGTGGTGGCTGATCCAAAGTTTGGATGTGCAGAGAGCAGGCTGGATTATTGCGGAGTAGAAATGGATGGACGGCTGCTGA